TGTGTCTTTATTGTAGAACAGAGAAACTTGCTCGAATGTATGATACTATGAACCCATTTTCTTTCTGTCTTTGCATGTAAGACATTGAGTTTAAGTACACGTCAATTATTATATCGCACCTAGGGTGTCCTTTACAAACAGCTTTAACTGTACAGTGGACTCATTGGTATCTGGGCTTTCATAACCCGTATCTTCACTTTATGCGAACTGTCTGTTTGCTACAAACTGTACAATATTATTGGATGTTTTTAATGCAAAGTTCTTCGAGACCTTTCGATATATTTGGTTTGATATTATGCTTCTAAGAACGATACAGGTATTGGTGTAGGGTATTATCAGTTCATTGTCACAAGATTTAGATTCCAATATAGAAAATGTAGATCATATGTCATGAACGTTTTTACATTTGACTGCAGAACCAGGTGATTTGAATACATATGAATTACCGTCTGTAAACTCATCTCCTAAGAACAACAGTTTAAATTATATTTACTTTCGTTTTAATTTTAAGATGAATGACGACTCTCATCAGGTGATATACGTAATAAATCCGTAAGCTTTTTAGATGGTTTATGCGTTTGGGTGTTTGAAGTTTGTTTTTGTTTTGTTTGTTTTTTTGGGTTTTTTTGTTGATGTTTTTAAAATATGGCTTAATCAATGAGAATTTGAAATGCGATTACAAGCATCTGGCATATCTTATAAAAGTGTATTAAAAGCTCTATCCCATTCGTTTGTATCTGCCCTCACTCATTTAACGTTAAATTTCTTTGTTTTGTTTAGCAAGCAGGGCTTAGATATTTTAAGAACTATTCCCATACAGTTTGGAAAAAAAACACCATTTCTTTTCTTCTTTTTTCCAAAACCTGGATATCACTTTTCATAACTGCTTAGTAAACTAATATGCAATGACTGAAATCAACGTCACTTCCATACTTTGTAACCATGGCAAATCCGTAGATGTAAAGTGTGACATTTTTCGCGATATTTTCTGACAACACCCATTTGGTCCAAATAAGATGTGCGTCTCATCTAAAAATCTATTTTCCTCTTTGTGTGAGCCTTGAGGGTTCATCTCATTATTGCAATAGCATATTTTCAAATTTGGGTTATTGTGACCTACTTTTGCAATATATACTGGTATGTAAAGTATACAAGCCGACAATTTTATTACCATGTCAGTTTCCTTTTATATTCACCATCAAATTGAATCGGGTAACATACTAAAGATCATAGCTAATTAATATTTTGAAATCGCTAGAAATTTTTTGATCAAATTATTTTTGATAGAAATCGAAAAAATGCATCTAGTTATGACTTTTTCCACATAATTATGGTTCAAGGTAAAATGCCGATTATAAAATGCTTGTAAATGTCTTCCAACATTAAATAAATGTGCTAGAATCCCAAAACCTAGAAACATAAAAGACTTGACGCCTAGATGAGATGGAATTTCTAGGAATTTTGAAACATTTTGTTTTTCAACGACATAAAATATTTTTTAAAAAATGTACTGAATCATTGTTTTGTGAAAAATATATTTTAATATATCAAAACACAAAGAAATGTTTTATTTATGCCAAAAAGAGGGAAAAAATTAAATATGTGGGGACAAACTGGCTTTCTTAATAAAAAATAACCAGCAAAACCATTGCTAATATATTAAATATATTATTTTAAATACGAATCATAGCAAACAGAACAGATTTATTAACTGTTGAGTAAAAATATGTTCTATTTCATATTACTCAATCTCTTTAAGGTAATGATTCTCCTGGTAATATTTTCTTTTGTTGGGGCTATTTTTTGCGGTAGTGGGATGCTTTGTTTTGGTTTATTTTGTTTTTCTTGCTTACGTTGTATGCAATTTGCAACTTATTTTGTTTGATTGACTCGACAGAAAATATCACTGATATTTAGAATTTCTTTATTTTAGTCTTTTTCTCGTGCAGTCAAAAGTAGCTACATTATGAATAATTGTGTCATTTTCAAACTCTTTCCCATTTTGTAGGAAAGTGATGCAAATATATCATTTATCTCTTGTTTATATAATTGATAATATTTCTTATGTAATACTTTTAGGTAATATATACTGTAGTAATGATTTTAAAAATACACTTCTTTTATACGATTGGACAGTTATAATAAACTGTTAAAATTTATTTTATTATGATGGTTAAACATTTTGCTTAGTTTTAAAAGATGTCTGGTTTACGTTCGAACAATCAGAGGTCATGTATTAAGAATGTGTTTATCGTAACAGAAACACGTACCTAAAACAATTGTCTAATCGACGTTTGGAGATGAAATAACGTTAGGAATTATCTTTTATACTAATAGACGCAATCTATTAGAGATACCATTAAACCAAATTTAAGGATTTGCACCAGTGTATGAAGGGCTGGAATGTTACAGATTTTCCAAATACAGTTTTCAAATTAAATTCTTTAGTTAAATCATTCCCTTTGCTCGCAGTTTTTCTTAATCCTGATAATTGTCTTAA